CATCACAACAGAGATACTGGTTGTGACATCATATAATCTCTCATGGCAACCTCAACAAACAAAAAGTAAAAACTGGTGTATTAACAGTGTATATTCACCCAAAGGTCTGTGTTTATTCCTCGCCCCCGTGAGTCATTTATTCTGTTTGTCTCTACAACGGACTTAGGGATAAGTCAGCTTATGGCTAATCCGTCCAGAGGAAACCTTGGGATATGTTAAGCTATGTTTCTAATATATATGACATTGTAGTAATCCCCTCTAATCTAGCTTCAATGTGAGACTACCCCGGGATGACTTCTTACGTAATCTATTAATAAGTGAAATATTGTAGCTGCCGATTACTTTGGCATTTTCAATGTTTTTTCCAGACTGATATATGATATTCGCTTGTCATCACTGTGATTAGCATGTCGACCTTTATATTGATATGAGAATCTAAAGAAAAGAACTTCATTGCTCTAGAATAACAAGTTATAACATATCAACATAATTGCCACTTATTTCATCCTTTGTATGTTTCACTTATTAAATATTAGTGAGAGATTGTCTTTTATCATTACAGAAATGTAATTAAAGCTTAGAGATAGCAAAGGACTAGTTGGATTTGATATTTGTACAATCAAGGTCACATAATTTTTTTTCAATGTTGCCTAATGATCATTTTGCCATATAGCTGGTTGCTTATAACAAAGGGATGCATGGGGATTGTGGGTAATGGATACCTCCACTTACTATAGAGAGAGTACCTGAGATGATGGTTAATAAATACCTCCATTTCTCTAAGGTACCTCTGCTAATTTAGCCCATACATATACAATATGTAGAAATATAGCTCCATAGGCCCATAGAGACTGACTTGTAATTCAGCTGTTATAACAAAACAACTGAGCCAGATTCTGGGCAAATATTTACATTGAAGAATAGCCCAGGTTGGTACTATGGAGCTCGGATGCATAGGAAAGCCTCTTGTTTATATATACAAATGAAATCAATTTCAGAAACGGGAAATCCAGATGTACCTGGATTTGGAATCGCAATAACATCCACTGCTAATTGTGACCCACTGCGAGTAGATCTTCGTTATATTCTATATTTATGTTCCTCTCAACAGTTTAATTATAGGAAGAATTACAGGTGCTGGTCTGGGTTTGTTTTCACTTTGAATCCCCCTCATCTTTTCTCACCATTTTATGATAAAGGCACTAGACTTTGTTCTTAAAAGTTCAAAAATACAAAAGTTGAGTGTTGGTTTTGATCATGCAGAGGACTCAAATAAAACTGTCAATGTGTAAGATTTCTTTGATTTTGCTATTTTTCATTTGTTGTGTATGAAATCTGCCAGCCTCTGCAGAGCAATCCATTATCCCTAAGGGTCTGTTTCAGGAGCTCTGTTTGGCCCAAAGACACATCAAAAACATCTTCAAATTAGATTGAACTACTTGGTATATGTCCCAAATGGTATAGGATCATTCAACATGTCAGACCATACATCCCAGGAGAAAGTTTAGGCTGTAGTTTTGACTAAATATTTATATTCTTATAAATGCCAATGGCAGATATGAAGCCAACCTTTTTAGAACTGAAGTATGGTAAAGTAGAGATTTTTAGCTCTTAAAATGTTTAAAAGTGAAAGATTGGATGGGATAAGTCAATGAGACATGGTAGAAGTACTGGACTCAAATGTGATAATTATGGCATTATGTTTTGAAGCAAGCAATTTCTTGCCTGTCCTAGGCGTTTTTACGAATCAAAGCAATCTCTAACTTGTTCCATCAATGAATAAACTCCTGATATTCTGCAAAGATCAAATTGGCTTAAAAATGTGTTTTTGGTCATTCTCGATTTTTTAATTTTTGTGGTATATTAGGAATTAGCATTTAGGATTGATCCTCATTCAAACCAGGTGGCTCATCAGGTGAGCACTTTAAAGCCTGGTAGCTAATCAGTGTCAATGCCCAATGAGACCATAATGAAAATCATAGGGGGAAAGTAGAGAGGGGGGGGGGCTTAGTATGGTCAAGCCACACAATTCTACAAATGCCTTATCCCAACTTGAAATAGATTTTTTAACTTTTTATGTTCATTTCAATTCATAATCGCAGTATACAATACATGTATGATATGTAACTTGTCTTTTTGTATTTTTTTAACTTTATAACTGAGATGTCTTTGATGATTTAAAAGCATTCAGATCATTCAATGCATGTTTACTCAAACTTAAAAGTTCTTAAAAATAAATGATTCCAAGATTGTTTGCTTTGGTATAAAACCATTTTCTTCAAAAATACATAAAACTTGTTTTTTCCAAGGGCTGTATTTTAGAATGATAGTTCTCATATGGTAGATCATCTCTATGATGAGATAACCATCTATCCTGTCATATGGTTTCTTTATTAGATTGGCAGGTCTTTGTATATCAAGATTTTATTTGTGCAACAGCAAGAACATTTGCAGAAGATATTATATCCTCTACCCCCTATCCAGCTATCGGTTGCATATTGTTTGAATTCAGACTATGAAATTAATTAGATATTTGTGAAGAAAGGTCAGAGTGTTCTTTGGGTGATTATGATAATCTCTGGTCTTCCTAAAGAGAGGGATTATATACTAGGAGGAGGACTATTTTATCAGGGAGTTATGTTACCTATGGTTTACTTGTACATAAATGATTGGCAGATTGACAGTCAGTTTGGTTAATATGACCCGGGGTCATGTAGTCCCTAATTCATAAATCTTCCAAGTTTAATCTTCATTTCCCTCATATTCTAGGGGCATTATCTCTATAAGAATGTACCCAATCACTTCACCTCAGAACCATTTGCTAAGAAATGTTCGAATTCCTGAAGAAGCAGCAAAGTCCTAAGGGCGTGTTGTACTGTTGTATGGCCAGTAAGGTGCAGGATGTGTCACTTCAAGTAGTAGAAAAACTAAAAGCTCATCATTCTAGATAAGAGTAAGCGAGTTAGCCATAAATATCTTACTAAACACCTTGCTGAGTGGGCAGAGGGCTTTTGCAGACTGACAAGACAATATTAGAAGAGTCTGCTAAACCATAATGGCTGGGAGAATGTTTATAACAAGAATGGAATAGAAATCAGACTCACAGTATCTGCATGGTTTATGTAGAATAACTTGTTATTACATTGTCATTTGTTTTTAAAAATAATGTACATTTGGCTCACTTTATCTCCTTAAGGAGAACCCTCAATTTATATGGAAATTTAGCAGTTTCATAGTTATTTTCATTTTCAATAAAAGTGCTTTTGGCATCTTGAAACTGCCACATTGATTGACACCTTTAGAATGTAAACCTTCATATTGCAATTCGGTGTCACGGCTAACAGCAAACACTTGAATGAAAACATCTCTCTCTTCGGTTGGCAGGATTCTCCCGTCATGAAACAGTCAGTGGTAGAGACATTATTGCCGATTTATTGTTTATTTCCAAGGGGGCAATGATGTTCTATTCATGTTTATGGTCTAGCCGTAACATTAATCACAAATTCACTAATATGTTCTTTAGGCCCTTTCTATAGTTTATCTACAGTATAACTGTCAGCTGAGTCAGATCGAGTACCCTTTAGTGTCTTTCGACCATACAACATAAACTATTCCTGTTTACACTAAACCTCCTTTAACAAGCTATACCATATATTATCACCTCAATTGGATTGAAATTGAAAAAATAATATATCACTTATGAGGCATAGGAAGAGAAACATTGAGGTTCTGAATTGAGCAGTTTATTACCCTCCCTTCATTTCACTGTTTCCCCATAATGAACAAGTCATTTGAAGATGTATAGCATTGGGGCAGTGATCTGGAAGGTTATGTTGGATTTAATACAAGGGGATGATTTGCGGTTGGATTTTTTTGGAATACAACACATTAGGCACAAAAAGAACATAATGTAGCACATATAGATATAATTTACAATTTTTATATCATAAAATGCGTATTGGATTGATCTAATCACTTTGCTATATTTAATCCAGTTAGGCTGAACATTGTTGAAACCTCTCGATGAAATACCACCCAAAAACTAGACAAATGAATTTTCCATACTTTATTATCTAAGATGTGTTCCCCTGGTAGAAAACGGTTTCTGGGAGGTTCATCATGTTGTTTCCTTCAGTCACGATTCTCTAGTTATTTCTAAAGGTCAATTTTTATTTACCACCTCTAAGATAAATGAAAATATTTTGATTTTTTTTACAGTTGATTGATTTTTTATCGATCTTTCACCTAAATGTTTTGGGGTAATTGGTTACCTTATATCTGACCATACTTGACATTTAGTTTAAAATTCTAAGATAAACTCTCAGACCAATAGATAACTTTAACTGTATCTAATAAATTCTGTAATGGAAGGCAGCTTATCCCTCATTTCTCATTTTTAGAATGGTGTGATATATTTTTCACACTATTTGGTTAGCTATTATTCATGCTAATTGCTTAGATCACTTACCCGTTCTTTTGAAACCATTCATTATGGTATAAAAAATGAAGAGGTTAATAAGGGGTGGATTATCATTCGTGATATATAAACATTAATGAATATACATCAAATGCAAAACAAAAAAAGTATTTTTATCCATTTTTATATCTTTGTTTGTTTCATTGAACAAAATAACCTTTACTTAGGACACGCATGTCAAAATGTTTTATAGCTGACATTTTCTGCTGTTAAAATACATAATTCTACAGTGTCTAATTGCAAGTGTTGCATTTATTAGCTTCAAATTATGACAGGATTTGATAAAACATATTTATGATTAAATATAGTAAACACATTTTTCATATTTTGCTGACAAGGTTGTCAAGTTTGTACCTCATCTAGTGACAGATGAAAGTTGTCTACCAATATTTGAAAATATTTTTTCACATCTCTTACTAAACATTGTTAATAGAAGTCAAAACAACTTGAAACTGTTGTAAAATGAGAATTATGAAAACTAACTTAATTTTTTGAATAAGTGTTTATGTTGTATGTTTTACAGAATCTCAGTGAGTTTAGGATCTCAGGATGAAGTTTCGACCAAAAGATGGCAAGCTGAAGTAACGAGAAATAGACACTTTAATCAATTTCATCTGATGGACCAATCAGAAGCCTGGAAACATATGCTATATGAAGGTACTACAAGTTGGCCATGTGAACTCCAATTGTACACACATTAGCAGTTGAACCTCAACGGAGCACACATAATTGATGCCTATGTAAAGATATAAGTTGTTACACTTTATAATAGAGAACTACAACCTTCTTCAGTGCCTAACTCTTGGATAGTAATATTCAAACATCAATGTTTTACTAAGGATATTTATTATTTATCAACAAATTTTGCCAAATACTAGGATTTGTAAAGAATTTATTGGCTATTAGACGGAGCATAGAAACCAATTGGAAAAGTGTTAGTAAATATTGTGATACAACACAATACACTTTCTAGATAAAAATACCTTTATCACGATTTGTGTTCTAGATTAGGATGGTTTGATGTTAAAATAGCGGGAGCTTGAGGTAGTAAAATGTGACAAACTTATTGGAGATAGAAATACAGCGGGAGGCAGAATCATTGGAGTGTGGCCATCAAGTCACGCTATTGACCACTGACTTCTTCAAGCTAGGACAACAGTTAAAACTAACCAAGTATGGATTTACTACAGATTAATGATCCTCGTGTTTTCTTAATCCCTTTAGGTGAGTGGTATTTACATGTACTTCTTAATCCTCATGGTTGTTGGCAGAAAGTAGCCTTTTCAAGATATTTATTTGCTTTTTTGGGTCAATCATCGAACAATTTGACATTTTGGAGAGCCGTTTCTCTAAAAGTGCCAGTTATTGAAGGCAGGTATATAGAGCTGTTATAATTTGATAGCGCTTTCATTAGTTTTGGTTTGCTACATATCAAACATGCACACACAGATCAAGTGTTTGAGAATAAACTTTGCGAATTCTTTGTAGTGCTAGTCTATACTGTTAAATTGTGTTAGACATTCACCAATCTGTGGATATTTACACAGTTTTTGTAGCATTTTTGGAGTTTAGTAACACTGCGGCCCTGCATGTTTTCACTGCTTTCTTGAGCCATTCATTTCGTTACAATAACACAGGCGGGAGGAACATAACAAGGGGTGTCATGTTCAGCTCATATAGATCATCTTACCTTTCTGTCTATTTACCTTTCTATCAGTGTATAAAGTATCAGACCTACCAAATACTGGGCTAGTTCCCACATACAAATCCCATATAGCACAATACTAAAAGTCAGGCCATCGCAATAATGCCGACCTTTGTTATGTTTGATTCAAAGGTGCATTGAGAAGTCAGAAAAAGTGGTTGATTTGGGAGTTCGGTTGCACATAGTTTTATTTTCTTGTGAATTAAAGTATACAACTTGAAAAAACAAGTTTGTTTGATCCCATCCCACCCTGTGTGTCAAATAACTTGGAATACCACACAAATATCATTGACTGTTCAATCCAATTAGAAGTTCATTTTTAAGTTTTCAAGTGAGTTTTATTTATTCATCATCTAAAATGAGGGCCAGAGGTTGTCAGTTTGTTATTGCACAAAGAATAAATATAAAGAACTGTAATCTTTTTTTCAGATAAAAAGAGTTGAATATTTCCTGAAGTTGTAATTAACCAAAGTAAAAGCACTTATAAAGCAAAACAGTTTTCTTTATAATGAGGTTGTATTTGTGTTTGCAGTATTGTGGTTTTCAGACTGGTTTAGTCTGTATATCTTCATTTTTGATTTTGTGCTTTTCTTGTTTTTGTGATTTTGATGCAGTTCTGTATTGTTCATGCTTTCTGAGCTAGTAAGCTTACAGTCGAAAAACTACAAGCCGTTGAAATATTTAAACTGTAATTTCTGTATTTTCTCTGGATCTGCCACGAAGTTTGGATCTCTCTGGTATGTGAATTTATTCTTCCTTTGAACTTCCCATTTTCAAAATGAATTGTTTGCCAAGAAGTTAATTTGTTTTCAAAACACGAGATTCGGCTTGCTGGCCTGGTTTACAGTGCAGACGAGTCAGAAAGTGGATGCTTTATACATTAATTGACCCTCAAATCATATTCAACATTAATCAAAATGAGCAATAATTAATTGCCCCTTGAAAAGTACATTTCGTAACAGTGAGCAGGATGGTTTGAACTCTGAACTGGTAGCTAGCTACTCAAAAGAGCTGGAATCATTTTGAACCTGTTTACAAGCTATAATCTCTAGACCTGAAGTAGGGGCAGAGCTCTAGAAGGGCATTTATGGTCCACCTCAAGTGAAACACAACCAACCCTGGAGATAATTAGAGATTTGAGATTAAAACTGGGTGAAACTAAATGAAATACTTTCATATGTCATCATCACTGAAAAACATCTATCATTATAATTAATTTATCAAAAATTGTATCATTGAAAAAACAAATTCCCAAGATCATACTATCTAAGAATTTTGAATTTTTTTACATTTTTAGTGGTTTTTTATATTACGCTGTAGGGGATTTCGATGTTCTTATCTTAATGTGATGTAACGTAAATGTCAAGTCCATTCATGATGCTGTAAGCCGATGTTTTGTGGAAAGCAAATACATGTTTTAGATGTGGAGCAGATAAGCTGACTGCGTACATAGTCTTATTTACAGCTCGTTTCATGCTACTTCCAGTCATTAGAGATAGATAGGTGAAATGTCACGCTCTTGAAATCCAAAAATCTTCATTTTCTGGTGAATGAATCCACCTTGTCTGCTTGAAAGTAACAATATCTAATGCTTCAGTCTCTCTGAGCACCTTCCATCATTAGTTTAACTAAAGTAATCATCTTTATTAGGAGTTTCGATTTTCTAGTGCAATAATCTAATTTCAGAGTATTGCTTCTACATTGATGTTTAGGGGAGTTTTCAAGTTCATACGTATTCTGTTTTGTATTATATTACGTGTAAGTGATCATAATGTTATTACATCCTGTAACGTATATCTTCAACACTTAAGGTTCTGTGATATAATTACATGTAAGATGACCACTGTTGAGTTCCATGCCTGATGAACCATCCCTGATAAGTAAGACTCCGATCAGAAGAAGGTAGTTCCTTGGCTGATGAACTCACATGATTAGATGCTTGGTAAGCATTAGAGTTGGATCTCTGATTGCATTTAGAGAGCCATTTAGATATCATTCACCTGGTTTGAGAGTACCTACATCTGGCAAGTAGTCTCTGCCTCAAATCTGCAGATGTACAGCTTTTGATTGTCAGTGATGATTGTGATTGTGTTGAAGTGATTGATTGTGCTATATACACTGATTGTGCTTTAAGTTGATTGTGCTGGGTTTATTTCTTTCTCAGCCAGGTTAATATTTTTGAACAGAAAGCATTCCATCACAAAGTCATTGAAAGCGATTATACTTGATTGGCATCAGGAATTCAGGATTATATTGTGTTAACCCAGATACGTTTATAAATTCAGCTTTTTATGCAGTTATGTTTCTAATATAAAAAGTCCTTGAATACACATGTTGTAAGATCTCTAGCTAGTTTTGGCAGCAGTTTCTCTCAAGGTACCCTTTATATGCTGATCTAGTAATACAGTAAAATGCCTAGATGTGAATATATATCTACAGGCAGCTCCTCAATGTAAGCACTTAAAATTGTGAACTCTTCTATAAATCTCATCCTTTTATGTCCCATTGTCTCCAATGTTCTTGGAACCAATCCCAATGTTAACAGTCTCACTGTGAACACTCACATGTGTGAGTGAGACAAGGTAGGTGTTTACTTCACACAAGTTTCACTGTACCACTACATTCCCAACATCTACTTCTGTCTGAAGGGTTCAAGCACAGATAACTTCCAACTGACCTTTACCAATGTATGTTTACTGTATATGATAACCCCTCCAATTTATATGTCATCAAAAAACTAATTCAATGATTCTTGTCATTTTGGAATTCAATTATGGTATTTTTCCTTTCATTGAAGTTTAATTATTAGGGGTTCAAAGATACCTTACATTGAGTCTAATGAAGAATGGGAATCTTGACTTTATATTAAAGTGTAACATGGGTGTAAGTTCGTACTGTAGTGTAGGTGTAGAGATAATCCATTTCACATAAAACACATTATTGCAAGATAGGGTTCTGCTTTTTCACATGTTATCTGATTCATTTTTATGTCCCCACCACATAGTGTGGGGCCATATTGTCGGCCTAGGCGCGTCCGTCTGTCTGTCCGTCTGTTCTCCGCAAAGAGGGTAAACTAAGATGACAAATCAGCATAAGACCAACAGTAAGGGGAAGGGGAGAGTTTTCCGGCCGGATCAAAACGTTTAACCCACCTATGCGCAGTCTCAAGTCTGTGGACCCTGAAGAAAGATAAGTAACATCGCAATCATATCAAGACAATGAAAGAAGAAAATGAATGAAGAAACCAATGCAGCAACAACAAATGATGTCCGTCTGTCCGTCTGTCTGTCCGTACGTCCGGCAGTTTTCTCCAAAACCGCTACAGATATCACCTTCAAATTTTCAGGGATAACTTATGAGTGCATACAGATGTGGATGAAAAAAAATTAACTTGATACCTACTTCCTGTCGGCCATTTTGAAGTCAAATGCTAAAATCCTTGTCTGCAAACTTTAAGAAAAACTGCTTCACAGTTGCTTTTAAAACTTTAACATCTTGTTCAACTCACTTCATTCTAGATCTGATTAGGTTTTGGACCTGCTAGCTCAGTCATGTCAGCCATTTTGAATGTCTTAAGAAAAGTTAGCGCGCGATAATACTTTGTATCATATTGAATGGTGTTTTTGAGTTTTCATACTTTAACTATTTAGTAGCTTTATAAATAATTTCAGATGTACTTTGCTGTAAAAGCCTACTTTATTGTTAACAGTAGTTATATGTGATAATTTTGTAAGAAGAAATCAGCAAAAACTCATAAGGACTTTTTTATTGTCGGCCATTTTGGATTTTTCGGTCCTAAAATCTTGTCTGTGAAGTCTTGTCTGCGCGTTTTCAGGTGAACCGTTTGGTGGATCAATTTCAAATTTTCAGGGATGATTCTTAGTATAAAAATCTAGATCTCATTAGTTTTTTGGCATTCTGGGTAAATGTCAAGGCAGCCATTTTGGATTTTCCGTCCTAAAATCTTGTCTGTAAAGTCTTGTCTACTCGTTTTCAGGTGAACCGTTTCGTAGATCAATTTCAAATTTTCAGGAATGATTCTTAGCATGAACATCTAGAACTGATTAGTTTTTTTGCATTCTGGGTAAATGTCAAGGCAGCCATTTTGGATTTTCCGTCTTAAAATCTTGCCTGTAAAGTCTTGTCTACGCGTTTTTAGGAGAACGGTTTGATAGATCAATTTCAAATTTTCAGGGATGATTCTTTGTATGAAAATCTACATCTGATTACTTTTTTTGCATTCTGCGTAAATGTTAAGGCAGCCATTTTGGATTTTCTGTCCTAAAATCTTGTCTGTAAAGTCTTGTCTACCCGTTTTCAGGTGAACCGTTTGGTAGATCAATTTCATATTTTCAGGGATGATTCTTAGTATGAAAATCTACAAACAGATTAGTTTTTTGACATTCTGGGTAAATGTCAAGGCAGCCATTTTGGATTTTCCATCCTGAAATCTTGTCTGTAAAGTCTTGTTTACATGTTTTCTGGTTAACTGTGTGACGGATCAATTTCAAATTTTCAG